CATGATTTTGTTTCCATGTTCACTTACAAGCTCCGTTTTTGCTTCTGTATCTGCTATTGAGTCTGCTATTTGAGTAATGGAAGTTTCCTGGCTCATAAAAGTTTTTTTTTCTACTTTCTCTAGCTGTTCCCAAGTCACCGTCCCATGTTTAATATCCCTGGAGTACATTCTATTGACACATCTTGTCTCAAAGTCTTTGTAGGCACTATTTGTTCTGAATGAGGACCAATACAGTACAATATGGCTAGAAAATGCTTTCAAACGAATCTATGACAGTAAAAGAGATTGTGTCTCTTCTGAAGTTAATGCAACATTTGGTGTAGAAGTGTATACCACATTTTGCTATGTGAGAGTTAGAGAATCAGGTTGTCCTATTAAAGATGGGCCTGAAAATTCCGACTTGGTTGTCATTTGGACGGCAGTGGTGTATCTACAGTTTCTGTAACAGTATAGCTTGTGCTACTCACACAGCGGTATCCCTCGACTTAAACAACAGTGTGTTCTCCTGGTGTTCTAATTTTAATTACAGATACATAAGGACCCTCAAAAATAGATGTCCATCCGAAGCATTGGTTATTTATATTCTGGTTGTGGACTTGAGTAATCACATCTAATACAAAGATCACAATCAATTGTCCCATGGATTATGTCTGGTCAATATATAATCAGCTCTGTAGAAGTTCCGTTGTATGATCCGTAGTCTTTTTGAACCAAATAAGTTTTGTCATTCTTTACGTTTGTGAGCAAGAATTTATCATATTTAACGCAGTTGTACTCCTCATATAGCGTTTCTTCTCGAGACGATAACCTAAAGCAGTGTTTCATGGAGTTGCTTAATGGACTTTTACGAGGAGCGCTGACTTTTACAGTTGACGCTAACTTGTACACAAGGGCTATGTACGGTAGCTCCTTTATGATATTGATATTTAGCTCAACATTGAATTAAACGAAAATAAATTTTTTCAATGCACATAAAAGTTGTCCTTGAAGAAAACGACAACCACCCTATCCTCAACTCCCGGTCTTCACACGCCAGTGCCCCAAACACCATACTAGAGTCACATGTAATATTACTTGGCACAGATGAATAGCACGGCAAGATTTATAAAGATGTTTATGGTTTTTTTCATGAACTGTATTGCCATGGTTACTAAAAATAGAAAATTCTTTGAAATATTTATAAAATGTTCTTCCTACAGCTTTGTTCTGATTTCAATAAATTATGCCAATAAAATGACGAAATAAATGATCAATTTTCAATTTATTGCAGGAATTACTGTCGTACATTTTTAAGTTCAAACGCTACTTTTCCTTTTAGGTATAAACAAGCAGTGCAACAGCTTGTCATAGACTTCTTGTTGCATTATCTTGCATTATTTATTAATTTGGTCGCCCGCGTGGCGCATTGGTTAGAGCGTCTGCGCTAGAGATGCGAAGTAAGGAGTCAATCCTTACGTCGCGGGTTCGAATCCCACTGCGGAACGTGGAGACTGTTCCTTCGGATGACACCGTATAAACTGAGGCCCCGTGTCGAAGCAGGTGGTGGCACGAAAAATATCCCTCACTGCTCAAAGGCCCTGAGTGCCGAGTAAAGGACAAAATGTGTAGCCCTCCACCGGCAAGTGGTGGCGTCTCCATATGAGTGAAAAATTCTCGAGAGGGGCGTTAAACAACATACATTCAATCAATCAATCCCTTTTTAAAATCAACCAATGATAGGCTAGAGTACAAACAAAATTAAATTATTTTGTTACAGATCTAGTGTGATATTTTAACGTACCCGGCGTTGTGTTGTTATCTAGTGAACATTGTGACTAACCGGTGTGATCTAGTGTTACATTGTAACATACTTGGTGTTATACCAGTATTAATATTAATTGCTTCAAATGCTGGATGTTACTAACATTTTCTGGATGAATTAAAAACTTTGGTTGTCCCCTACCAACCGACTGGCAAAAAGGAAAATATTACTTCAACATTTTATTAACCTGAAGGGATTAAAAATTTGATGCATTTTTGGGGGAAAAAAAAGATAAAGACAATTTTTCGCAGACCAGTAGATGCTGAAATTTGTTGTGAAAAAAAAAAAAAATCCAAAAAAAAATCTGGGGGAAAATGGCGGTTATGAATTGCTTCAATGAAAATTTCACGTACATGTATATGTCACATTTAACAAAATGTTATTGTGAAAGATACAGTGAAATCAATACTGATCGGGGTTTTGGGGGACGGGTTGTTGTGTTAGGGTGAGTATATTGTCGTTGTTTTCAAGGCAAGGAGAGACCTACGATTTTGTAAATTAAAAAATATGTTTTTCTACTAATCATTCTCCAACCATGATATAAAGTCCCAACAAGGCAATATTTTTTTGTTAAACCTCAAAAGATTTGAACCCACGAAATATATGATTTTACAGTAGAAAAATAAATGATTTTACAGTAGTTAATGTAAAGTATGTTTACCTGAGAAGAGGCTCCATCCCACATCTGTACTATACATCCGGTCTCTGCTACAATTATTTCTCAGCAGACGACAGGATCTCAGACTGTTGTGATAGAACACCGCGACACACGGGGCCATCACACAACTCAGAGAACACTCTATAAATCCAGACACTTCAGGCTCAGATACAAAGCAGGATCCGTCCGTGGCTATCATATTATCCAGATCCGGAATAATCCTTAAATTCATTGTGTTTCTGTCTGTTTCACATGCAATAAACTCCATAGTTACCAAAATAAAAATCAAACCAAACTGTGTCTTGAACAAACCAGATCGTCTCGTACACTGTTTGTCTATCATCCCGTCTTTTAGATTTGATACTTTTATTTGAGTACTTAGAGCTGCTGAGGAGGATATATAACTGTACAGTGATAGGAAGCGGAATACAATTGTTAAAAATCAATGTTAAATCGTCATTAAAATTGTATGCGCTTGATCACCAATGCTGCAATACTTATTAAATATTCACACACTTAATTTCTTGCTCTTTCGCGCTCAGTTCATATTTCTGGAATAACTTTTCGAAAAAAAGACATGATACGAGTTGACGTGCTGGTCTTTCCCGTCTGCTAAATGCGATATACATTCACTACGTCAACATGGTCAAAGACAGACAAACCGCTCTAGATCCGGCTTCTGGTTTCTATTTTTAATTTATTGCCTAACCTACACAAAATGTACAAAAAAGAAAATCTAAGGTCATAGAATGCCTCAGTTTTAAACATATAGCTTTCCTTGCAGTTCAGTCCGAAATATCTGACATTTTTCAGGCTTTTTCATGATTTTGATATTTTACGTGCCGTGGTTTCTGGAAATCAGAGTCGTAATAAAACCTGGATATTTCGGACTACTTACGGTAATGCCATCGCAGTACAGTTCAGGCAACATTTTCCATAAATGTCACGGAATCCGATACATATAATGTTTAACAGTTTTATTTTTTAGCAAGACACTCTAGTTAAAAACAGCTTTTTGTGATCTTGAAGAGTATGTCCATCGCTTTTCACATCGGTATTTTTTGACATCATGTGACCCCCTGAAGTCACGTGGGCTCCGATTTTAGGTCAAAAAATGAAATGTCAAATTTAACCAAAAAGTGCAAGGGCAAGACAAACAAAAAATTAACTGCACAATGTTTTATGTTGTCTCTATGTATTTATACTTTCTCAAAAGTGATGCTCATTCAGTTAGTTTTCCGATATAATTAAGTAATTCAGCTAAAACAGACAGTAATGTTTGAAAAATAGGATATTTTCCTAATTTCATCACGAATTATAGATTAACTAAAGGATTACAAAGTAATGAGCATCACTTTTTGAAAACTATACAATAAAATAAATAATTCAAAATAAAAACCTACTTTTTAGATTGTCGCCTTGCCCTTGCACTTTTTGATTAAAAAATGAAATATTCGAAGAGTCAATCTAATAATAGTTTTCAAACGCATCACTGACCCAGCATGGGAGATAACTCTGGAGTACTTGATATAGTTTGTTTAATGTTTACCTCGTAAATTTAAAATAAATATACATGCGGGCAGGACTTGACTCTTTTTTTTACTAAATCAAACGGTTTGCATAAAAATTCTTGACATTTCTTTCTTTTCTGTGTATTCATTCTCCATACGTTATATACATTTAATGTCTTTCAAACCTCCCGCATTTCCTCAACGATGTGTATATTCACGTAGTATTACACACAAATAGGTATAAATATTGCCGATATATTTATGTAGAACACAAATGGTTAATTCAAATATAGCCTTCATTTATAATTAATTACATGTAGATATATATTCCCCTCTCTCACATCTGTACGCATAGGCCTCGGAAGAGAGAGGGGGGGGGGGGGGGGGGGGGGGGGGCTGAACCGTCCTTCTTATTTGCAAATTACTTAGTATATACATAATGTAGGCATTGGAATTTGCCTTTTTCTTTTGGCTTAGCCCCCAACCCCCAGCCCCCTTTCAATTAGCCCCCTTTTCATTATGCTTCCGACGCCTATAATACACACTTGTGTTAATATTTTATTCTTTCTGCATACGAGGTCATGTTCTACAATCGCTTTCAATCAGACCGCTTACTGTTAATTATTAAGGGATATAAACTAAGTTATAAGTTTAAGATACTAATTAGAAAGAATTGGGGTATACTCCTGTATTTGTGAAAGGGACAGCTATTTCATTTTGAGTGTGAGGGACTGGCAGATTTTAAAAATAAATACTTGCATCAGTGATCTCCCCCTCCTACGAATCAGATTTTTTTTTACATTTTTTTTTTTTGCATGTAGTATTTTTAATGAAGAGGGAAATAAATAAATAATATGTCCTTCATCTTATTGATCGGAAATAAATATTAATCTGTCCTTCATTGACATGAAAATGTAAAAAAAAAATCTGACTTGGGAAAACTCGTCTGCCCCCCCCCCCCCCTTCACTCAGAACAAATTGTGCTCCCCTATCCTATTTTGAATCAATTATGGGGATCTCTAGTCTCCTGTTTTTGGTAATATTATTGAAAGATAAATGAACACAATGCACATGCTGGAAATAAGATCTTGATGATCATGAGTACCCTCCACACAAAATAGTAAGAAAGTTAAGATTTTCGTATCTTAATGGCCTTTTCAACACCTGTACAGTAAATGTATGAAAAAGTCAAATTATTATTCTTCTAGAAAATTTATTAATAAACATTTCTTTTCAAATCCAATGACAGACTGTAGGAATGCTGAGCAGGTGCAAATTATTTCCATCACCTCATGTTCTTGTGGATAAAATGAATTCTGAAAATAGAAGAAAATCAGGAAATACCATTATTGAAAGTAATTTGTGTTTAAAAAATAAAATAAAACTAGAGCCGAGCTCGTTGCAAAGCAACGAGTAGGTCTTCCGTCCTGTTTGACCGGAAGTAACTTTCATTTGAAAAAAAAAGAGAAATGAAGTCAAAAAATGGTTTAATCCTCCAAATTTATGTTCATTTTTGCAAAATCAAGCCATTTTTGGCAACTTCCGGTTTGACCGGAAGTACCGTCAACGGACGGAAAATTAAGATTTAAGCTTCCAGTGACATATGATATCCAAAAATCTGTCAAGAACAACAAAAATATGCAATTTTTGACTACTTCCGGTTTGACCGGAAGTGACGTCCCCGGATGTATTTTGACAAACTCAATAGATAAAGCTTGACATTTTGAACAACTTTGCTTATTTGACGTATTATAAATTCTCAATACTTTTTTAGATATTAAACAAAAACTTTCAAGAGCCCTAGATCCCTAATTTTAGGGGCCAGCCCCTTTTTAATGATATCAAATGAAAGCGCTTGTAATTATGCACAACTTTTATTCAACATGTCTTAACAAAATATTTTTAGTTTTCAAGATAAAAAGGAAAATATCTGTAAATTTTCGCTCTTTTAGGCTTTCTAATTTTTGACCCCTATATAGCGCCATTTTGAATGCAGAAATCGAAAAACAAAAACCAATGTGCACAACTTCAATCCTTCTGTTATCTAAAACAAGTAAAATTTCTGCTCCAGCTTTTGTGGTCTCTAGGCCTTTATCCGGAAACGAAAGCCTATGAATTTTCGTTTAAAGGGGAATAACTAAAAACCGGAAGTGACTTTTTGAAATTTTAGTCATTATTCTGATAGAGTTTATAAACGTCTATAACCTCTGAAAATTTGAGCGAAATCCGTTGAGAAATGAGTGAGATATAAGGCCTCAAAGTTGGCGTCTAGGAAGTAGAAGAAAAAAAAAGAATAATAATCTTTACCAACAGAATCAGTAGAAGGTCTTCCGTTTGAAACGGAAGACCTTAAAAAAAATTGTTGGAAACATTTAACAGAGAATTTACATACATGTGTAGCGTGAAGCGGTCACCAATCCAAAGGTTAAACAGGCTCGCCGTTGCTTAACTTGCCTGAAATAGAGGGAGACCCTTCTGCATCACCAGAAAAGCTAGCTCACTGGCGAGGCACTACAAGTTACCTAGATACTGTCCGCTACACATGTTTTCAATTCATCTGTTATTTTTATTATCAAGTCTTTGCAAGGTTTATAGCATATATTGAGCATACCATTTTCCTTAAATGATGGATTAATTTGCTGCCTGAATGAATCCATTTGTCCAACATCTGGGAAGAGCTATGCCTACAACACAATATATATGCAGTTATATGCTATGAAATTACTAAATATACATTGTAGGATAAAATGGCATTAAATTTTGCAAAACAAATTACGCTAGTACATTTATATTGTAGTGAATTTATGTTATTGACATAAATGAAAAAAAAATGTGTTACAAAACTTCTCTGGGAAAGTGAAACTGATATTAACAATATTTATTGATAGAATATTTTCTATAAAAAGAATTCTAAGTTTATTCTTTAACAAAATGAAAAAAAAACATATATGTAAAGCATTTGAAAACTTTGAAAATGTGAAATGCTTTAAAAGTATACATACCATTTGGAGAAATGATGCATTTTTTATTTTTTCACCGTTTAAGCCTGAAACTCTGGACAGCTACAATGATAAAAGTGTTATATAAATATTTTTATTGTACATGTAATCTCAACAAAAAATGATTTTTTCTTACATTAATTTAAAAATTCTAGAAAATTACAACCTTAGATCTGAAGTGGGGCTTTTATGTTTTCAGCACAATGTTACGGATATTTTTTTTTAATTGTGTAGCATATTTGTATGTCAAAATACATCATTGTTTGTTTAGGCCTAATCACTACTGAATCAATGACTGAAACAATGAAAACATCTCATTTAATTTAGTTTAAATTTGTGTTACTGATGATCTCCATTATTACACATATTGTCTCAAAGAAAATGAGCTTATTGACAGGAACTCAGTACATATTTAGTGCAATTAATTTTTAATAATTCTAAAAAGTGTGCAACTTAATTAGTATGGGAGGGGGGTTGTTACACACAAGGTACCGCATAATTAAGTTCACTGACTGTACTAATATATTTGAATGAACATGAACATACTCGGTGTTTTTTATGTTAACAAAAGCATTTCTACATATTGTAAATCTATACATGTACCTACATATGCGTATACATACCTGGCCTCGAATTACAGTGCAGTGATTGATCTACGGAGGTAGAGCTGGTGCAAATCGTCTCAGTTTTCTGCTATTTTCCGAAATAATGCCCTCATATCCTTGTAAAAAGAAGAAGGAATGCCTTGTCTCTTATTTTAACCCTATTTTCTTTAAAGATTGTGTGGTTATTGCATTTAAATCCACTGCAAATCTCAGCTGATGTCGCCACGTTTTTAGATGTAAACAACATTCCGTGTCACCGAGTGCAAGCGCTTGGCTGAAGCCGAATGCAGACAAACGACACATTAAAAAGAGAATTATTTTAAAGACATGCTATTTTATATACGAGTTAATCACTAATTATTTTCTATTTAAACATGAAGATATTGTTGTTTAATACAAATTGTTGCTAAAATCGGTAAATAGTTAGTTTGAGCACCATTTCCTTATATGGATCAATCAGGGCGGAGCAACTGTCATGACGTCAGACCTCATTATGACTTCATTACCATATTTTTTTCATGTGTTGCCTTCACGTAGAACCTACGTCGTATGACATCATAACTAGTGAATGTGTTCAGCCTGTGCTAGATCCATTATGACGTCATAATTAATTCAATGTCATTTCCCGTACTTTACAGCTTCAGTATAAAAATGGTAGAAAATGCTGAATTTTGAAATTCACAGAATTCATTTTAAATTCATGCCGAAATAATCTTAATTCGATTTATATATTTTTTTTTAATATAATGCTTAATGAATATATTTTTCTTGAATTGAGAAACCTGTAGGCACCTTTCATTTAATAAATCTTGACCTTAATATTAAGTTGACAAATCCAAGACTATCTTGTGTGATGAAATTGCCATGTATACAACTTACTGTAATAATGTAAATGGTATGTAACTACATGTATTTTGAAGGATTGCAAAAATCCTTAAAAAAATCGGTAGTTGCCAACTAAATAGTGTAATATCTTGAAGAAATGTGTCTAAGTCAAAGATGTACGTGTTGTAGATTGTGTGTACGTTTTGTGATATCTATCATGAAATGATGTGCATTCCTTTTCATAATTATTTGTTACTTATTCATATTCAAGGAGTTTTATTACAATTTCTTTATTAAATATGATCTTTTAAATTAAAAGTACATTTTTTATAAACATTTTTAATTTGAAAGTAGCCCCAAATAGTCATTTAATAATAAAATCCATGTAAGTGCTAAAAGGTCAAGTATATTAGCATTGATTAATAACCTATCTCTCATTAGTTAAAGGCGAAAGGTATAAATTTTAATCACATTTTGTAATCATTTGGGTATGTTCTTTATCATATTAAAGATTGAAAACATTGTGACAAAGACTTATGAAAAATATTTACAAATGTAGGGTGGAAAATTGACTGAAAATAAATAGAGTTCATTTGCCTATAGTTTTGAAAATTTGGACTTATCTTTTATGTCAATTGAATAAAAAAGAATTTATTCTCGGGAAATATTGTTTAATACTGTTCAATTAATAAACAATAAAAACAACGATGTTTAAAGAAGTAAATTTGGGATTTTTTTGTCTTCTTTGCATGACAAGTACCCCTAAAATGACTGAAATTGTGAAGTCGCAATATGCATTTATCATTCCATGTTTAACTGGCTGCACTACATTTAATAACAAGGAAACCTGTCATGTGCTTTTAACTGATTGATAAGCAAGTGCTAATTTATCGTTATGAAAAGTTTGAAAATCTTGTGACAAAGACTTCTTCGACATAGGTTCTACCTTAACTGTACTGCGATCTTCCTGAATAATTCTGACAAGCTTGGAACCAAGTTTTTTTCAGATTATTTTGGAAAGGCGTGTCAATTTAGTTTTTATCATCAGTCAGAAAATACAAATACACATGATTTTAAGCTTCTGTTTTTTTTTGTATAACCTGCTGCTGAATGAACAAAAAATACCAGTCACTCGGGTCTTGAACAACTGTTATTTCTAAAATTTTCATCAATACTTAAGTTTTCTAATGGTCTGTGTAACACTTAACAATTCAAATTTCTAAAACAATTTAGAGTTTTAGAATGTTAATATATTAGTTCAAATATCTAACTTTCAAAAACTCAAACTAATTTGGTATTTTGAAATTTAATATTTTATTTTAAAAATTTCCAAAACAGGTTAAACATTTACGTTAAGTGTTACACGGACCTCTAATCTACCTAATGGATCTTTCTGGAAAGTTCAGAAAACTGCGGCAACCTCGAATATGTTGACGGAGCTTGCCGAAACTTAGGCCCGAAGAAAGGCGATTGCTAAAAAAGAGCAGCACCACAGTGGAATGAAGGATATGGAGATAACGAACAGTATTCATTCTCAAAGTCCATTAAACAATACAAAATAAGAGCAGAGCAAACACGGACCTTCGAAACATCAAAGGTGGGATCAAGTGCCATAGAGGAGTGAGCATCCCCTGCCGACCTGTTTCTAACAAGGAAATTACTGATTCTACTGACCTTTTTTTTTATCTCAAAATTAAAATTAAATCAATCTAGGGATAATTGTAACAGGAACCGTTACAGATGTTCCCAAATACTCCCCAAATCCCTTTTGGTGTCTTATTCCTCATAAGTTTCACAAAATAAGAAAAAACATGTGCATTCTAGACTTTAATAATGTTTTACTTGAAGTATACCAAGTGCATTGCAAATTTTAGCATTACACGTGCGCGCACGTGAATGCATGTGCAGATTGACCATATCATCCTGTTACACTTCTGATACATTTTAATATTCTCTCTAAAGGAGAATACATGTAATTATAAAGAGATTGTCATCACTATAAATATATTTTAATGTACTACATATTAAGGTATTAAATATAAAGTATTTTAAAAATTCGCTAAATCAAGTACCGGGTATATTTCTAATTTAAGCATTACACGTGCATGCATGCAGGGTCGAAGCATCGATTATGAAAGCGGGGGGGGCAAACCTAGAATTTTTTTTTTTTACTTTCCTGTAAAAGTTGACAAGCCAAAAAAGAAGGAATTTTGCACAATCTAGAAAATCATACTCCGTAGGGAGGGGGTGGGGGTAGTAGTGGCCTACTTTTTTCACGGCCAACTTCCTTTCACTTCCATTTTTTGCATACAATACTACATTTCCGTCATATCACTATACTGTGGTAAAAAGTGGGGGCCAACCAACTTTTCAATGTAAATTTTCAATAGGAAAAATAATGTCGAAAAAAATGGCCCCCTACCCCCCGTTGCTACGTGCCTGGCATGTGCATGATAACCATACCTTTCTGTAGAAATAATTTTGTCTATCTATGCTCTAAATTTTACTTGCTTAGTTGAAAACCAGGAGAGGTATAACCATATAAATTTTAATTTAAAGCAATCAGGACCTTATAATTTTTGACAATGTTTTAAATTCGAATAAAATATTTGGACAGAAAACAAGAACGATATTTGAAATTTTTTTCAGCCAATCTGGACAAATAGCACGTGCTTGCGCGTGAGTCCATGCTAATTTGATCGTGTCCTCTTATCTCCACCATTGATATATCTTCATATTTATAATAGGTTTTGAAGCATTTCATCAACAAAATAAAAGTGATGACTATATAAAGTATATCAGTCATTCACTCATTTCACGCGTCTGCACGTGTATGCGTATGCGCGCAAAACGCACACTTACACATCATACGTTTTTTAAACCTGATAAGGTTTCACCTTACTTGGGTGAGCAGTGTCTGAAAACACTCGCGGACTACAAAGTACTGGAGAACAATTTTTTTAAAAAAGAAAGAAATCAAAGTACTGAAAGCACTCATGGGAGTTGAACATGGTGTAAATAAAATCTTTGATCGGGAGGTTGAGTGAGTGAATAGTATTATTATTTCAAATACAGACAACTGTTTCACATTTTTTGAGTTGGAACAATCTTTATCGAGAAAGACTTTCAGAGACATTGAATAGCAAAAAAAAATGCATGGGCGACAATTCTTGCCTGCCTACATTAGTCCTTTTTTTATACCCCCTGCTTGAAAAGCGGGAGGGTATTTATCATTCGGGATGTCCATCCATCTGTTTGTTACGCTTTAGGTATACCAATCTCTTATCCGCAACTCCTCTAACACCACTGAACAAAATTTTCATAGGATCTTTATTACATATTGCCTTTGTGCTTCTTCAATTACTTTTTCATCCTACACATATTTTGGCTTTCCCATTGCAAAACAATGACACTGCCATTATATTCATATAAGAGGCGGTTGATCATTTATATCACTTCTCACAGTCTTCAAATTTGTAATATATTTTTCCTTTGCTCCTTTACCCATGTGTTATGAAAATTTCAGTTTAATTTTAATTTAAACAATATTTTATTATGAAAAACATAATTGGATTGGACAGCAGGCACTGCCTATATAAGTCCTTTCCACAATACAAGGTCAACATCATACATGTACAAGTAAACATTATTAATATAACACTGAAAAATATAATTATATACATGCATATATTCAGTAGAAATGTATATGACAAGGCAAAGTTAGGGGAACAAACAAAAAAGATAAATATATGAGCTGTTAATATAATTTAAATTTATATTTTAACATGTATGACTGGCAATTATAGTAATAATTGTTGATTGTATAATTAAAAAAAAAATGAATAAGAAAACATAAATAGGTTTTGGTTCTGTGATTTGACAATTGAAAAAATAGCTGATATAATATCATGCAAATCGCTTTGTAGTAGCAATAAATTCTTGAACAAGTTTAAATATTGCAATATTTTGGTTGTATGTAAGATTATTGTCTCCATTTAAAATAAGTTGTAAACATAAAGGCACTGGTAATTGCAAAGTATTAAAGTTTTGTATTAGGTTCTGTCTTTGCATACAGTATTTTGGACAATTCATAAAATAGTGATATGATGTTTCTGAACTAAACCCGCACATGTTCCGTTAAAAAATGATTAAATAAGTCATCATTTAAATTACTAGCATTATTTCACAATTGACAATGCAGTATATTCATTTTACGACTTCCATAATTGTAATATTTCTTAGGTTTTATGCAGTATATATTCTTTATGGCAGTTTTGAATGATGTAAGTGAAGAAAGGTTTCGGATATTAAATGGTAAATCATTCCAAAGTCTTATAGTTGAAGGAAGGAAACTTTTCATAAATGAAGTTGTTTTGGCTTGTGGAATATGAAATGTAAGATTGTCCAGATTCCTTAAGGGATAAGAATTATCTGGAAGAATGCATTGTTGTAATAAATCTTGCAAATACTGGGGTGCCAATCCATACACTATTTTA